GGCATAAACAAGCTGCCAGCCCAGAAAATATGAGTGGGCCATATAATTTTTGCTGCTTGAATTTGATATTTGTGTGCAGCTCCTCAATCAGCATCCGTTTCCCAATATTGTTGATATACCGAATCCAACTCTTTGCGTGGGCGTTGAACCGCAGCTGGCGGCACGATTTGAGCTGGGGATCAGTTTTTTTTTTTGCAGCACGCCCTTCTATGGCCCATACACATTTAAGTCAACAAACTAACAAAAACAAGTGCAAACACAACAACTTCTGATGCTGCTGGCTAAGCAAACAGCAACAGCAACAGCAACAACAATAAACAGCACTGAAAAGGTGCCGCAAAGGGTTGCCGACTGCTTGGGGTCGCTTTGAGTGGATGCCCAACATCTGAACGGAAAACAAATTAAGCAGTTATTTGGGGTTTTTGGTCGCCACACACACACACACACACACACACAGCCAAACAACTTTATGAGCTTACACACCCTTTCTGGCAGTTAGCCTTGTCATTTGGTTTTTGGAATTAAGGCGTCGTTCATTAAAGCCTCAACTGATAATAGCGCATGACTTGCCTTACTTTATATGACTTGCTCCAGCCATCTAGCCATAATTAAGCTATTTTCAAAATTGTTTCTATGCTTTTTGTTGTCTTAAAGCAACTTCTCTTTGACTAGGCAAAAGCGAGAATGTGAAACTAATTGAAATGGCTTAATTAAAGTAACAATTGCAAGTATTCAACTTTGACTCAGGCACAACTTAGATGTCTACGTTTAGCTATATTATATTAGTCAGAGCTACTAAGCCACAAATTTGTTAAATTGCTTTGATTGATTCGCCATTTGCTTCAACAAATTTGAATTGAAAATTCAGTTTTATTATTTATTTAAAGTTTTTATTTATATCTATTTGCTTTTTGGTTATATCAGCTATAATGATATAAATTGATATAAATTGAATCAATCAAATTTAAAGATTTCTTCATTTATATAATACTTGTTACCAAATTTCAAGAAAATATTGTTGCTCTGTGTTGCTTGTCTCATAAGCTGTATCATATATCAGTTAAAGCTTTAACATATAAATGTCTTATATTTCACTTAAGGCAAGCATTTCAGGTTAACAAAATTGGACTAAGCTAGAACCAGAAAATGCTTATTCAATGCTTTCTGATGTGCTCCAGCTGAATTGCTTTGTCTTCTTCAGTGTGAGAAATTCTAGGTTTTTATGGTCTTATTTTCAAATAGACATTCCAATCGAAGCCTAAATAAAGTGAGGGGAGGCAGGCAGGGAAGAAGAGGTTATATTTGCTCAGTAAGTTCAGCAGACAACTTAAAATAATTATTTAAAAAATACAAATATTAATTGTAATAAAAGATATTAATAGTACTCATGCTCAGCAAGCCTTTTTAATTTTTAAATCATTTTTATGTCATCTACTTATTGTCTGTTGAACTTACGGAAAACTTCGCTCTTCTCACATCACATCTAATTAGGCAGACAATAAATGTATAGGAAAACTATCCTCAAACCTGGATTCATCTCTCACTTCATTTAGGCTTGCCTTTTGCACGCTGAGTTATGAATGTCTTAAAGCAGTTGATAGAACTCTTTCTAGTTGCAGATTGAGCTTAAAGACGTCACAAATCTTAGAAAAAGAATTGGATGACTTCTAGAATTCTTTTAGATTCTAATACGCTTTGGCTGAACTGTATCACTTTCAAATTACAAAATTGTTTAGTTGAAAGACTCAGTTCAGTTAACTTTCGCTTTTGTTTGAAGATGTTTAAAATTAAGCATTTCCATAAATATAAATAATACAATAAAAAAAGGCGCATTAAAATGGAGCTGCATTAATTTCTATGCCTTATAAATTTTTTACAATTTTCAATTTGCCCAATTTACAATTAAATATATAAAATATATCAATTTATTTAAATATTAAAATTTATATAAATCGATAGTTTGGCAGCTTAAATAACATATTCTGATTCGTTTTTAATTATATAAAATATATTACATAGAAAAAACTCAGTTAAATGAACTAACAAGCAATGTTATTAAGCGACAACTTTACAATTTTAATCGAGCTGAGTTTAATTTGATTTTATAATTAACATATAGGCTTACCGAATTATGTGCGAAGGTAGTAAAAAAACCACTAGAAATTTGTGCAAATGCCCCTTCGAAATGGGGTCCGTTTTGTGGGGCTGATCTGTAGATTTGCATAATTTTATTGGGTGCTGAACTTCTGAATACACAATAGCCTCTGGCACACATACATACGTATATATGTGCAGGCACACACACACGGACACACATATGGCCACAATGTTGCCCAGCTGTAGCCGCCGCAAAGAGGTCACTCAAAGTCCACTTACCAACTTAGTTAGCCAGACGCTCGCCTGCTCTTCATGCCCAAAATCTTTGCCTAAGCCTAAAAGTCGCTATTGAGTTGAACTGTTGGACTGCGTATGTGTGTGTGTGTGTGTGTAGAGTGTGTGGATGTGACCGATAAGCGTGTGGTGTGCACTTAAGTTGCACAGTCACCAGGCCAGTGGGACGCAGCCGAATGTTAAAGTTCGAAACTGGCCAGAAAACCACAATAAGCCAAAGATTACGTCCCACTTCAAACATCTCCAGATACGAACTCAAATTGTTGTTGCTGTGTTGCTGTTTCTGCCATTTCCGTTGTTGTTGGTATTGTGTTTATGGGCAACGCCCAGTGCCAGGGTCCAGCTGCGGGTTAAGTTAGTTTGCACAAAAATATGTTGCATACTTGTAGGCAGCTGTCGAAAAGTTCATGCTGACAGTTTTATATACCTATGTATGTAGCTTCGCCTTTTTCGACTTTCACACACACACACACACTGAACTTTTGTGTGTCACCGAGATTTGCATTTCAAAGCATCGTGGGCGTGCTGTCACGCCCAACTGCAAGCGAATGTGTATAGCAGGTGTATGAGCTTGTACACCTGCACAGAGGCAACAACTTATTACTTTGACTAATCCTATTATGCGCATGCAAACGTGCGACAAGCCAGAACTTTTCCTGCAGCTACTACTTTGAAGTTGAACGCCTCAGTGACTGTCACTATCCACCTACTTTTCGCAGCTAACTCTCTCTCTCTCCCACTCTCTTTATCTGTTTGTCCACCTGTCTGTCCATTCATTCTATTGAATCGTGCGCTCACTCAAGCGTCGCTAAGTTGTCTTAGCAGTTGCTGCTGCTACACTGCAAAAAAAGAGATAAAAGTAAATATAGCTAGGTGTGAGAAGCATGCCTGAGTTGAAACTAATAATGTTAATGCGATATATATATATATATAAAAATATATATATAATATACATACACATTGTTATCATATTAATGCATTGGGCCAGATTATAATCACATAAATTTCTTTGAAATAAACATAGCGAAAATAGATAAATTCAATTCATGAGCCAATCGATAAGCTCCTACACAAATGCAGCTGTGTAATTTGTGTTTGTTTTGTTAGCTGAAATTAATATAAATTTAATTTTGCTAGCCATATAATTAATTAGATGCATATATGAAATAGTTGTGGAAACTTATTAAAAAAATTATATTTAGCATTTTTTCTCTCTAGTTCCATTGATGCTTGCCCAACAACAAAATGAAACCAAAATAGATAGACATTAATTTTATTTTTAATTAGCTGACTAAAAGAGTAATGAAATTTAAAAAAAAATTTAATTGCTTATTGACGCATAAAGAAATTTAAAAAAATATAAACTAAAATAGAATATAATACATTTTTTTTAAATTAATAGAAATTTGAAATTAAATCAACTGATATATATATATATATATATATATATATATATATATATATATATATATATATTTATCTATAAATTTGAAATTATTTATGTATTTGACGATATATATATATTTCTCTTAGAAAATTTCAAAAATAAATTTGAAATATATAAATATAAAAATATCAAAAAAAATTAAATTTAAATATTTGAAAAATCTTAAATATGTTTGATATTCAAATACTTGAAATATTTAAAAATTAATATTAAATTGATATATTTGATAAATATTAAAATTAGTCTGAAATTAACTGTATATCAGATAAAATATATCAGATAAAATATATCAGATATATATATGTCAGATAGATATATGTCAGATAGATACATAGATAGATGATACAAGATACAAGATACAAGATACAAGATACAAGATACAAGATAGAAGATACAAAATACAAAATACAAGATACAAGATACAAGATACAAGATACAAGATACAAGATACAAGATACAAGATACAAGATACAAGATACAAGATACAAGATACAAGATAGAAAAAATATTATAAAGTTTATAGTATATAAAAGACAGAGAATAGTTTAAATAATATGTAAAATAGAAGAGGAAGATAAGAGATAGAAGATATAACACAGAAAGTCTTTAAAATAAGCAATACTTTGTAAGGAAATGTTAAAGTAGAGTAAGAAGACATATGGTTATACCAAACGGCTTACGCTCTTAGCCTTACATTATTGGGCCAACACTCGAGAGTAGTGACAACTATCCATTAATGGTTTATCAACAGCAAATTCCGTTGGCTTAAGCCGCTTGACCCAATTCCCTGTGGATGCTTTTCGCACGGTGCACGTGGCAGCATTGTCTGATGTCGCCTGGCTTGGACTGCCGCCATCCTCTTTGCTACCTGCTTGTTGTAGTTAATTTTACCTGCTTACTGTCCATGGGGTAAATGCTGCGAAAAGGAAGCAGCAGCCAAAGAAGTTTCTGCAAATCTTGGCAAGCGCGCGCGTTAAGCTGATTTTCTGAGGCGCTGGCTAAGTTTGCTAGCCAAACTTGGCCAAATGCTGGCTGAGCCATTAATTGAATTCTGGCCATGTCCGTGTGAATTTACTATCAAGTTTAGCCACGTTCGCACACATATATATGTATATTATATACATTTGTGTTTTTTTTTTTTCTACTTTATTTTTAACGCTTGTATTTTTATTTTCATCAAATGCATTTTTGCCATTTATAAATTACAAAAAAGTTTTTTTAAACATCTCTTAAGCATATTGAACATTTAGAGCCAGCCAATAAAATGGTTGTTGTTGTTGTACATTAAATAAGTTGAATTTGTTTTTGTTTTTAAAGTTTGATATGCATCAAAAACCGTTTTGATGTGTGAATGTTGCACGTGTTGCAGTTCTCCTTCAGCTGCTGCTCCTTAACTACTTCGTCTTGCTTCCTTTAAGTCTCTATGAGTGGGTGAGTGTATGTATGTGTGTGTGTTTAAGTGTGTGTGTTTGTGTGTTGAGTAGTGTTGTCCTTTTAGAAGAGCAGCGAGAAGAGGCTTCTTACGCCAGTGGAGCCAGCTCCGGAACCGAGGGTAAAGCCGGAGCTGGGCGTGCCGCTGCTCCGGTGCCGAGAGACATGGCTGGAAGTGTTAGCACGGACACGATCGTAGCTGGCAACATCCTGCAAGGGAAGGGTGAAGACAATATAGATTAATCAAATTGATGGCATTATCGTAGAATATTGCGTACTGGTCGAGCACGAACTCGAGATGTTTGCAGTGGCGGCAGATATCGCAAGTGCCGCACGTGTTGTATAGCGACAAGACTCTCACCTCTTTGTCGGCATTGGTTAGCACCGAGCGCATCGAGTTAGCCACTGGCCATTTCTTCTTCATGACCAAATTGTTTGGCGGATCGTGAGCTGCGCCTGAGTCCAATGACCAAATGGTCACGCTGGCGCCACCCAGCACCTTCGAGCCGCGCGAGAACTTAAAGGCGAGCTCCTCATCGCCCGCAATGCGGGTCAATTGCCAGCCAGTCAGGCTGATCTCCTCGGTGCCCTTGTTGTGCAGCTTGATGAAGCGACCCTCTGTGTCGGCTTCGATGATCTCCAGATCGCCCTTGGCGGCAGCATTCACCGAGTACTCCGACAGTGTGCGATCCTCGCTCTCATCGATGACGGTGCGGCGACGCTTCACTGCACTCGAGCCGGAAATGCCGGGCGTGGCCGAGCGGCGTCCGCTGGGTGTAATACGGCCCGTACGGGAGCCACCGCTGGCTGTCAGCTGGGTGCCATTGCTCGAGATGCCGGAATCGGTGCCAGGGCGACCGGGCGAGGTAATATTGAGACGGCGCTCCTCGCCGCACAACAGCTTGTCGTAGGCAGCCAACTCCAGATCCAGCGACACTTTGATGTCCATCAAATCCTGGTACTCCTGCAGCTGCTGAGCCATCTCATCGCGCATGCGCTGCAGATCCGCCTCCAGCGAGGCAATGTACTGATTATGACGTTGACGCTCCGTGTCCAAAAGATTCTCCAGTTCGCGAATGCGTGCCTATCGATAAGAAAACAGATTCAATAAATTTCGAATCCTGCGAACTACGAACTAGTCTCTGTTGCTTACATTCAGGCCAGCATTGGTGTTCTCCAGCTCTTGCAGCTTGTTGTGAAGGCCATCGATCTTGGTGCGCATAAGACGCACCTCTTCGGTGGCGTGCAAGGAGCCCTGCGCAGCGCGATTGGCTGCGGCCTTCAGATTCTGAATCTCATTGTCATAGAGCAGCTCGATCTCCTCGCGATTGGCGCGCATCTGTCCCTCGTACTGATCGCGCAGCTCCTGCAGCGATTGCTGCAACTTCGCCTCGTATTGACGCGAGAGGCGGCCATCGATTTCGCTGATCTCGATCTGGCGACGCGAACGTGTCTCGGTCAGCTCCTGCGAGTGCACCTGGTCCTTGAAGGCCAGCTCCTCGCGCAGGCTCTGGTTCTGGTTCTCCAGATCGACGCGTGCCAAAGTTTCAGCCTCGAGCTGCTTGCGCAGATCCTCCAGCTGACGGCGCAGGCGCTCGTTCTCCGCAGACAGATCCTTGACCTGATCGTCGGCCTTCTTGCGATCGGCCAAAGCCTGATTGTATTTGCTGTTCACTTCAGTGTAGCGAGATTCATAGAGTCGTGCATTGTTCTCTGCCACGGTGGCTTCCTTAGTCTTCTTATCGAGTCTGGAAATGCAATAAGATGATGTGTGGAATGTTGTAAGGGATTACTAATATGGCCAAGTGTTTATCACCAGACATGTGCGCACCAGCTGATGACGTCACCACAACGATTGCTCTCTCCTTCTTAGAATATCTCATGCATATCGAAGCTTTGCTCACTCAGTCTGTCTGTCTCTCTCGCTGCTTCTCTCTCTCTCCCTCTTTATATAATTTATTATTCATCGCTTGAGTTTCTTTCGGTTGCTGCCTTGAAATCTTTGGATGCCATTAGCATAAAGTAGCTAAGCTATTTTCTGCCCAGCTTGCTCTATCTCTCTCTCTCTCTCTCTCTTTTCACATTCTCTCTCTGTCTCTACTTCAAACGTTTTAGTTTCTATGCGTCTAAAAACAAACTTGTTTATTTGCCTAACAAAAATTCCACAATCTATTCGAAAAAAAACATAAAAATGTCGTCGACGTCGACTCTCGTGGTCTGCACGTTTTTTTCTATATTTTTATTTTTCAGTTAGCTAAATTTGGCGCCGATATAAACTGAAACGGTATTTCACTGTAATTACTCAGCTTGTTGACCTTCTGTTAAGTAGCTACAATAAGGCAACTTCTTAGGAAATCTCTCTGCTTGGCATGTCCCAATTACATATTTTCTTTTTACAAAATTTAATTGCCTCCGGCCGTTTTTTATGTATTTTCATTACAAAAATAAAAGTATATAAACAATTTTGGTGTAGCTAATCAACGTCGCACAGAAATAGACGAAATCCCAAGGTCGCTCTGTTGCTTCTATGGCATGCGTGACGCCTCCCGCTTGCTGTGCCCCCTTGGGTATATTATGACAGGGAAAATAAATTAATATGCTACCAAGCGACCTAATTTATTAAAGTGAATTCTATTTTTTGTTATGAATTTTGACGTCAGGCAGCGCAGTGGGTTTATTGTTTAAAGAAATTAAGGACTTGGCCTAGTAGCAAGGAAACTGAAGAAATTGCACTGAAATTAGTTGGGAAACATATTTTGTCTATTAAATAACTTTCTCTATATCCAGAAACTGTTCCCAGCCGTAACTTGTAACTGAAAAACTATTTTCAGTCGCTTACTCGCGTAGGAACATAATCTAATCATAATTCAAAACCGTTCCCAACTATTTTAAAACTGTTCCCAGCTGTAACTCTTAACTGAAACCCTGTTTTCTGGCTGCCAGTCCCAATTGCAACATAATCTAATTATAATTCAAAAACCGTTCCCAACTATTTTAAAACTGTTCCCAGCTGTAACTTAACTGAAAACCCATTTTCTGACTCCCACTCGCATTGCAACATAATCAAAAATAAAACAAGTCTTTAAACAGCATTTTCATGCATACCCAAATTAAACTCATATCAACAACCGGTCATCGGGGCCTAAATACCGTGCCCGAAGCACGCATATGCAAACATTCCGAGTCCAAATAGTTCCCATACTTTGTATTAGGCAAAGTATCAACGAGCACAATGAATAACCCAAAAATAAATATTGCCTTTGATGATAACAGCAAATACAAATTTGAAATACGCAACAATCGGAATTTGTTGACATCATAGAGAAGAGGAAGAGGTGGGCCTGGCCAATATCACCCTCCAAAACTCCAAAACTGGTATTACATGTTGAGCTGCTCTCAGCCTAATGGCGGCATTACAATCAAATACACAAAAACCAACGTGTTGTGCGTTATTTTTGGTTCGGAATGACATCATATATATATATATAATATATATGTAATACATTCGCTTCTGTTTTCATTGCAACCTTGGAAGGGCTTAGGCATTACGTATACGCAATATGCCAGGCATTAAACTCTGGTAGTTTAGCGACATTTGCTTTGGCTATTAGCGACAGGCGCAGAAGATAAATTCAAATCTTGGCAATTGTATGAAATGTAAAAAATGTGATACCAAGTTTTTTTTGGAAGACAGTTGTTGCTGCAGGCTTTGGTGTCTTTGGTGTTGCCTTAGTTGTTATTTCGGTTTTGCTTTGGAGGTTTCTCGAAACGCAAATGCAAAAAATAAACAAAAGCACAACAAAAAAGAGAGCGTCTGTGCCTATGTGTGTGTGCGAGAGCGAGTGAGCGACTCTGCCATGTGCGCTGCCGACTGCGGCATGACATCAGCCAAGGCACACAGAAATACACAAACTTGCATTGCGCTCTCACACTCTTATTCTCTCACTCTCGCTTTGGCTCTCCCGCTCTGTCGGTCTCGCTCGCATAGATATGACATCACTATGAGCGCTGATTAGTGAGCTTTGAGTTTGTTTTTGTGTTTTCGTTTTTACCTTTGCTTCAAATCATCATTTTCCTCCCACAAACGTTTTATATCGATCTCAAGTTTGGCCTTCTCCTTGGCCGTTTCATCGAGCAGCTTACGTGCTGCGGCCAATTCCTTTTCGTACACTGCTTTTAGGTTAGAAGTCTCGCGGTTAACGGTATCCTGAGCCAATTGCAACTCCTGTGTGAGGCGTCCGTTCTCGTTTTCCAGATGACGCATGCGATCAATGTAGCAGGCGAGACGGTCGTTCAGATGCTGCAACTCCTCTTTCTCTTGCATGCGTGTTGTGCGTGTGGGACTGGTGGGGCTAGTGGCGCCACCCAAGCGACCGGACGAGGTGGAAACTCCTCCGACTGGCGTCGACGTGGAAGCGCGTGAAACGCGTGTGTTAACTGTAACGCGGCGTGCTGCCATTTTTGCTTAGTTTTATGAAGTTTATTTCAAGAAACTGAATTGAGGAACGTTTTAAGTACGCAACTAAATTTGCTTAGTCTTTAAATTTCAGTTTACTACGATTAGTTTGAATTTGTTCTATTTGCTAGCTTGCTTTGCTGCCTTTGCACGTCCGATTGCTTTGACTGTTGAAAAATTACTGTAAGTGGCGGCGTGTTAGGCGCTCGCACGAAAGCGCCGTACGTCATCATCATCGACGAAATTAGTAGTCGCAGTCGGCGTCTCACTCAGCCATAAAAAGACAAAAAAAAACAACAATAACAAAACGCAAGTTTGAGCACCAGCGGCTGGCTCTCTCATGCTTACACTTGCACCACACAGCTATTCCGCTCGCATGCCCAAATGGCGACAGCGCTGCCAGCGCTCACAGTATGGTTCTGCCTGGTTAGTTGTTTTTGTTGCTGCTTTCTTTTCGTTGTTGTGTTTGAGCTGTTCAGAACGCCGTTGTATTTGCTGTTCGGCTGTTGTTGTTAGAGAGCGAGAGCTACAAATAGAAAACACAACGCAAATCCAAAGCAATCAATGCCAAAGCGTAAAACTCGTTCACCAAACATTCAGACGTACATAAATATGTATGCATGTGTGCATGTATGCGTATGTGCGCCGTGCTCGGTTATACATATAATTTGAAAGTTTTCTTCTTGGAGTTTGGGTTAATGTACTCAGTCGTCGAGGTGTTAAGGAAAGGAAATGCGAATACATTCAAAGTAGGGCAAACCGATAAACGATACAATTACAATACATTAGACTATGCCTGCCCTGCTTGCACCCACTCATATATGCCATTACCCGTCTCTGTCATTACACTCGATTATTGACCAAAGCGGCTGCTCAATTAGTTCCCGCAGTTATAATGGAACCAGCCGCTTGGTAAGGTCTGTCAATTTCCCACCCATTGGGAGCACGTTAGAGGGAAACTGCTTAGCACAATGTCAACTTGTCATAAATGAAATATTTATTGATGTGCTGGCTGGCTGCTGTTGTTGTTGGTTAGAACTCGAACTGCTCGTGCTCGCCCACCCATTAGTTCTCCTAGGGAATGCCAGCAGCAATAACAATAAATAACAGCAAGAACAACAATAACAGTTATTGCATGCTTTGAAGAATAACTTTCTGTATTTCCATACTTCTCTCTCATTTCCTCTCACTCTGGCTCTTGCTCGTTTTCTATGTCTCTATTTTCGTCGTATCTGTTGTTTTTAGCGGCCGCAAAAATTTGTATAGCCGGCAAACTTTTTTGCACACAATCTACATACATACAGATACACCTGCGAGACACATAGGCCAATGCAAACATGCAAATGTGTGTGTGCGTGTGTGCCTGTGTGTTCATGTAGAAAAGAGCATGCCGCCTCTCTCACGCTCTTGGCATTCACAAATCGGCATTGCCTTTGTGGTGCTGTCTCTCACTCTCTATCTATCTATTGTTGTTTTTGCTGCAAACCGTTAGAGCCAGCTGTTGGCTCGAGTGCAACAGAAAGGCTTATCATTTATGTGCACGCCTTATGTGACGTCATCAGTTTAAAGCCGTAGCAAAAGCAAAACCAAAAGCAAAAATAAAAGCAAAAGTAACAACAACTGACCTCCAATTTAAAAGTGACGCGGACGTCGACATTGTGGAACGCCGCGCCGTTTGTCTCGCTTACACGTCGGTTCGTTTGACGTGACGTCATCAAATTATTTTTAATTATTGCGTCGTCGTTGTCTTTGCTCTGCGAGCGTCAGAAATATTAACATATTTTATGTTTTGTCTTGCCAAATTATAATTCACTTCGAGTGTGCATAATGCGGGTACAGTTTGGCTAATTAAGTTTAATTAATGTTAAGCGAAACCGGTGGTAAATTGTTGTTGGAATCTTTTACTTTTTTCTTGCTTTGCCGCCTCACTTAATGCGCTCTTGTTTATTTTGCTTTGTGCTTATCATTTGTTGCCAGGTTTTTTCTACACGCTTCTGTTGTCTTTCGTCTAAGCTTTTACTCAAATAGGCAGCGTTTTTTTTTGTTATTTTCTTGTTGATGAGCGACGTCTATTTGTCGCTTAGCTTGATTAATTGTAAAAATTAAGGCCATGCATTGATAAGATTTTATTATTATATTTAAAAGTTAACAACAACATGAATTGAATCGAACCCTAATCTGATATCAAATCAGCATGTGTAGAATCTATTTTTGTATCAATATTTATTTTACCAAACGCATAAATGTTAAAAAATCTCAAGCTTAATTTGCATTTTGAATGCCTGAATAAGCCTTAGAAACAGAAAACTCGTTTTGATTGGGCTTTTATTAGTTTTATCACTTAATACAATTATAAGTTTTAGTAAACAAAGAGTAAAAAATCATATGTTCATAGAGTCCTCATCAATTCTTAAAAACGCGTTGTGATTAGGAATTTAATTCGCAAATTATTTATTAATACTTATGAGCCTAAATTAATTTTTTATAGATCTATTATAATAATTTTTGTAAGCATCATTATTATGAATAGAATTTATTTAATTAAATAATGGTATTTATAAAAAGTACAATTATTAATATTATAATAATTTTGCTGATAATGATGGGAAATAAGTCCTGATACAAAAGAGTTTAGTAAGCTTCATAGGAAATTATTAAGAACTTGAACTAGAGAAAGTAATAAATGAATGAATGAATGAATGAGTAAATGAGTGAATGATAGAGTGTATAAATGAGTGTATGATGAATTACTGAATGAGTCTATGAATAAATGAGTGTTCAAATATATGAGTGAATGTATTCATGTTACTAATGATAACATAATAAATAGGAAATGCAATGAATGAATTAATGAATTAATGAGTGTATGAATGTGCGACTGAATGTAATGAACGAATAACTGAGTGTATGAATGTATGAATGAGTTCATGAATTAAACAATGAATGTATTCATGATGTTAATAGTGATATTTATAGCTAATAGCTCTAAGCATCAGAAACACGCTTAAATGTAATTTCATGATAGGTTTTATGCGGTATTTGCTAGTCAGGCACTCCCAACAATAGCAAAATATTATTAATAATGAAATCATATTCGGAACAGTTAGTTTTCTAAATATTTATGCATAAATTTGAATGCGTTGTCTTCTTGTTGTTATGCTGATGATTTATGTCAATTGACATTTGTATCAAGAGTCAATAAAGAGGAGAGGAAAATGTCTGGGCTAAGCGGCAGCTTCGTTCTTCTTTTTTGTCTTGCTTCAGTCTCTCATTCTCGAATTCTGTCAGTTAGTCAGGCTCACAGTTTGTCAGTTTGTATCTGCAAAACTTGTTTGTCGTCTTTAAACGAATTTGTCAAAGCAGCTTCCATAACTTCAGTGGCTCTTGTTGTTGTTGTTAAAGTCAAACAACAGCGAAGTTTGCCGGTCGCGACTTTCGGCCAACAATAATGACATCATCGCAAGCTTAAACTTTTCTGAATTCATGGCAAATGACGTTTACTTCAGTTTATAAGCCACGGCGCTGTGAATGGCAGCAGAAAAGCGTTAGATAAAAATGTTTGCCAACTAAAAAATATGCTCAAACTAAGCTAAAATTGCAAATTGGGAAATATCGATTCGGGGCATGCAACAGCCATTTACACATCGTTATGCAGATAGATAACGCAGTGGGGCAACTCACTTAATTAACATTGCGTTCGAATCAATAAATATTTATACGAAACTTCTAAGCTGGAAATGAAATGAATAAGCGAATGGAATTTTATAGTAAACTGCTATGCGAATACCCTGTCTTTTATTTTGTTTGAATTTAAACTACAATAACTATTGTGCGATATTGTATAAATGATTTGATGACTTGAATCTGTGCGTATTTATAGTCAGTTATACCCCATTCAATAATATATATATACCCTAAACAAATACTATATCTTTAAACACATGAATGCTATTGGGGCTATGCTCGCATATATCATTATGAAATGAAATTTTTGATACGCCCCTTGCTGTGTGCTAATGGATAAAAATGAAAGCTTCTTCAGCTTCTCTTGTAGTTAGAAATTACAAATTATATAAAGGCGTGGCAAGGTGGTCAACTTTTGCACTTGGCTTACAGTTAAAATGCTCTACAGTTCGAACCAAAAGCTATGTGATTCCGATAATATTGATATATATTAAAGACTAGCTTTTATTACTAGCTTTTTATGCCTTGAGCGAGCATTATGCAGTCGATGCTGCTCAGTAGCTATAATTAAAGTATTTGATATGATTTTCGACTCTTCTCTTATTTCCTAATTTCATATGTTACATTTAATATCATATCGCCTCCCCTCAACAGTTCCATAGTTTCCAACCGAACGCATTGACCCTCTGCCAGGGTATAAAATGCAATGCAATAAAAAATAAAATAAAAAATTGCGCTCAAACTGCGTTTGGCATTTGGTTTGTAATATTTTATCGTTTTGTTTTTTCTTTCTTGTTTTTTAATTTTATTTTTGTATTTAAATGTTTTTGGCACATACCGAAAACCGCGTTGCACAGAAATAAACAACAAATAGAATTGCGCAAGTTGTAGTTGCGCGACTAGCAAATACCCTGTATGCAGTGGAAATAAATAATTTGATTTGCTTTAGTTGTTATGATATGATATGATATACCCTGTAAACTGTGCCGCTACTCATATGATATTTGTGACTATTGAAAATGTGAAAAAGAATATTTTAAGACAAAAACTTACTAATCAAGCATTTCTCTGATTCTGAATGCTTACTTCTAAATACCTATCAATGAAACTCCTTCCTTTGCATTGCTATAGGGAATTACAATTACACATATTTTATGTGACATATTTTAGCTGTCAACTGCTTCTATATACCCTGCGATTCGTTTGTCTTAGTAGCCTGTTCCTGAGGATCAGCTACCTTCACCTTCTCTCATAAAGTTAAATATTTTCTATATCATTCAAGCTATAGTTCTACAATTTTTATCTATTGTACTCTGTTTTATGTTACTTTAAATACAAATAAATTGGCTGCAGTATCAAGCCAGCAAATATTTTAAAAGATATTTAGAAAAAATGCTTGCAAAAACATTTGTTTATAAATAGATTTTATACTGAATGTAAAACATAAATAAAATGTCAATTTCAGCTTATTTGCCTTTTATATTATATACGTGATTTTC